GTGAACTATCTTGCTCAAAAGAGTTGCCTAAAATAAATAACACTGGAGTTAACTGAATATAAGATAATATTATTTTCAAATAATTATCCCCATATTATAAAAGAGCTTTTATGAACAGTTGGTCGGACAGTGATTTTACTATTAAATTAAAATTATTAATTTGATTAATAATTGGTTCTCGATATGGGACTCAATTGGTCTCCCTAATATCATTAGAAGAGGTTTACATGCAATAAAAATTCTATTATATCCTTATTTGTTATTGATAGAATTTTTAAACAATTATATTCTATCTTTTGTTATGGATAGAGTTCTAAATAATTATGAATTGTTTAAAATTAAAATTTATAAGGCTAGTCTAATCCTATATAGGGTTCGTACGTAGCCTTATGAAGATATAGAAAATCTTATAAAGATGAGATGAAAAATAGAATAGAGAAAATAGAAAATTGAGAGCCTATCTCTCAGTGTTGCTCCTCTCGTTGACAAGTGGATTTCAATTAGAGGTTTTGCTGGATTTCAGTGATTTCTCTTGAGGAAGCTTTGAAATTTTCAGATAGATCTTGGGAGATGGATTTTCCAGGTAAATATTGGGAGATGGATTATGAAAGACCGAAAAACGTTCTAGATATTCTTTTAATTTTGATTAATTTTGATTAATTGTCACGATATGCATATTTCGCCTTGTTGTTTGTCATGTTTCCAACATTCAACTGATTACTCACCAATCTGTCCTTTGAGCAAGCCACAAGAATAAGGCCCACTTCGTAGGTCCTTTAACTAACCAGAACCAAGGTATTGATCCGGCCGCTATCGCTATGGTCATAACCAGCAATTGCAGAATGTGCTGTATGAACTGAATATTTGCCCTAATTCGAAAGCCTCCACATGGCCCTATATCTGGAATGACAACTACTCCAGCTAGCGCGAGAACTACACAACATTTTACTGAGGATGTTCGCCAGGAGACCTTGCTTCAGAGCTGCCATGTCACACCATCTTGAGTCATCTATGAAGTCTGAGACCAAGGCGTATTTATGATTGCCAAGAATTAGTACAGAGGCATATTGAATGAGAGGTGCACTATCAACCCACAAATCAAACCAAAATCAAACGCAATGGCCTTTGTCAATTCTCCATTGATGGCCATGGTCCAAGGCGTACTCCTTGATTCTGAAGTAGGCCTCCCCAATTTGATGAAGAGAACCTAGAGGCTTCAACACTTAAAAAAGGCTCAAATATTTAAACCTCATAACCGGAACGCATATAAAGTCCTGGTTTGTTAGGAAGCGCCAAGCTGACTTTGCGTACATAGCTAAATTGCAAAACCCCTTAATGATAGTTTGATATTTTTTTTTTCGGAGACATATTGGTATATTATTTCTTTCTCCGGCGACAAATGGGCCTCAAATTTCGCCGGACCTAAATTTCCGGCGAAATTTCTCACGTGACGCCTCAAGTGGTGCGAACGTGGCTGTCAGCATGCATTCCAGCGTCATAAATCAGCTCCAATCCCAAACCCTAACCCCTCAATCTCCTTCCTCCACCACCTCTCCCTCTCCTCCCTCATCCACTCCTTTCGCCTCTCTGACGCCTCCCAGACCTTCAACCTCTTCAAATCCTCCATTGACTCTCGACCCGTCCCCTCTCTCTACAACCTCCTCATCTCCGCCTTCGCCAAACATAACCAACACCAACAAGCTCTACAATGGTACCACGCCATGATCCAGGATCGAGTCAAGGCCGATGTGTACACTTTTAACATCCTCATCGATAGCTCGAATCATTTTCGGTAGCGACTTGCGAGATTTTGATCAATGGGCTTTGTAGGGAAGGGAGAGCTTTAGAAATGTGCGAGATTTTGATGGGTTTCTTAGCGAAAGGAGCGGTGCCTGATGGGTTCAATTGCTTCATGTTAATCGGAGCTTTATGCAACTATGGGAATGAGGATAGAGCTATTGTTACTTGTAGCTCATTAATGGAGAGCTTGAGGAAACGTTTGGGAAGATAGATGAAGCTATTGGGTTTATTTGAGAGAGTGATGGAGAAAGTGATGATTTTGGATGGGATTAGTTGCAATTGATTGACACTGGGAGCCACGCTAACAGACTCGTTCGCATCAAGTGAGGCGTCACGTGAGAAATTTCGCCGGAAATTTGGGTCCGGTCAAATTTGAGGCCCATTTGTTGCCGGAGAAAAAATAATATCCCGACATGTCGCCGGAGAAAAAATACATATACCAAACTGTCACTAAGGGTAAACAAAATATACCAGTTTGGTATTTTTTGCCCGTATATAGCTAAATTCATCAAATGCATTTTGTTTAATTTCAAGACCTCCAAGAGCCTTTGGTTTACACACCTCCTTCCAGCTGACAAGATGGATCTCACGTTGACCATCAGATCCTCCCCCCACAGAAAACCACGAGCAGGCTTGTCTACTTCCTCACAAAAACCCATGGGCATCAAAGAGGACTGCATATATAGTGTAGTCCGGGCGGAGAGTTGAGAACTAAATTGAATCAGCGTGAGTCGCCCCGGCGCCATTGATAAATGCTTAGCTTTCCAACATGCAAGCCGATCGAGATTGAGCCTTTTCTCAATAATTAAGCTGCGCACTGCAGGTACCCTTGCTAACTCGTCCATGAACACGTGGAACTCCCAAATATATTTACCTAGCTACATCGATCATCGATCGGTGGTTCTTCTGAAACCCAGATGAACAGAGGGAGCTTAATTAATTAGTCTTAATTAGTAATAAATTAACATATATAGAACATCATCATCATTAGCTAGCTGGGCCCCCCAAGGATCCCCATTATTGTACCTGGTCATAAGCCCTTTTTCGAGGTCAATCTCGAGGGCCATGAGACCGTTACGTCCAGCTGCTCTCTCTTGCGAATGACATGAATTAATAACCGTGTTCAGCTCAGGGCGTAGCCTGATAACCTTCTACGTACGCAACACAACAATGGGCTAATTAATGGGCCGAAACCGACGGAGGGCTTCAGAGCTTGCTGCTTAATTTTTGAACAAAAGCCATCAAACAAGGACCTGTAATATATGTACGTACGCCGGCCGGAATCTCTGAATTATAGAAACACGGCCGGCCGCTTGAAACCCGCGCGTCCCCGCACCTGGGGGCTTCAAAAATCCCTTTTTTGCACATGATCGCCTTGGACCTCATTTAATTAGTCCCCATCGAACTCCTTTTAAATTTCATTTTAACCCCCCCACGGTAACTAATTATATCGTCAAGTCTAGCACGCTTCTAGTTACTTAAAATGCATAATAAGTTTAACTCCACACTAATTAATTAATATAATTATTTTAGGACCTTTTTTTCCCCCCTTTTACCAGGCCGTCCCAATTAGGAATAATCAAGCGAACAAAAGGCAAATTACCTCCTCGAGAAATCAATCGGAAAAATATGATTTAGTTGCACAAAACACCCAATATATTCATTTGAAAACACATGCACATTTCCCACCATCTGTATACATAATTCACCATCGCTAATCCTAATATAAAAGAAATACAAGTAAAAAAAAAGAAAAAAAAAACTTATAAAATATAAGTAAGATGGGGGGAAAAGGAGTAAATAATTAACAATAGTAAGCTCTTCTAATTTTTTTTCCCCATCCCCTCCTTCCTCCTCTCCTCGATTCCTATTTACACTCGCACTCAAGAGACCCTTCAAAAGGAAAAATAACGGCCA